AACATTACTCTCTTACTTGAGACATGTGAGCGTGTTTCTTTTTCCATGATTATTATCTCCCAAATTAATGGTTGAATCATGATTCGTAACTCATGCCGATAAGCTGTTTGTTGAAATGTCTAAGTTAACTATTTATTGCTTCTAAAGCCTCTTGAGCTTTGTTTAATTGCCCATGTTGTTGTTTGGTGCTCAATGTTATTTCAGTTGCTACCATATAAAAGAAACAGATAATGTCGTGGGCTTTATCAACTTTTGTTCCCTCTGAAGTTCCTCCCGTTTATGTTGTTGCTACTGCTTCTGGTCCATTGTTGGGTTGCACCACCAGCTGCTTGGAGGTAGTTGGTCCGAGAAGATCAAGGCTCCAATTATCTCTTTCAATGAAGTGGTCAAGTATGAGAACTTTTGCCACAGAGTTTAACAGAGTGTCTCATTTGCCGTCACGCCAAGAAACTTGGGAAGATCCAGATGATGGAAGCGGCAGTGATTTTGACGAGGAAGATGATGAAGAAGAAGAAGTGGATGAGTATGACTTGAATTTTGAAAGTGATTGGGAAGGTGAAGGAGATGTTCAGGCCGTCTCTACTACCGATCAGCCTGCTGCAAACAAGTATGAGGAGGATCTTCGGAAAGGTTTTTACTGGCCTCCTTTTAACTTTTTGATCTGTTTCTCTTCTGGCCATTGCATTTATGTTTCTCTCTTGCAATTTTTTCATTAAGAATATTGAAAATAGGTTGAATGATGAAAGGGAAAAAGTAGATTTTTAGTCATTGATAGTTGATACTTAAGAACAAATCTACTTCAATCTTTTAAGTTTCAGTGAGTCACATTTTGATCTTTAAGATTTTCACTTCCATTTAAAATCTTATGTGAGGCCTGTGGTCACGGCAAGAAAGATTTGAGCCTATACTGAGAGAGTCAGGCTATCTCTTGCTGTGATTTAGTAAACAGAACGGTTCCTTTAAAGTAAATAGAAGCGTGACGTAGAGCAAATAAAATCAAAAGTGCATATATGAAAGCTACCATAATCGTATAACAATTTGAGCATCCAGGAGTAGTTCAAAACACCAGATGGTTCATTTTTCTTTTGTTTATCTTGTAAAGACATTGTTTTTGTTTCTCTTGTAAAGACGGGGTTGCTTGTTCTTGTTCATGCCCATTTTACTTGCTGAAAATATACATTGTTTTGTGAAGGCACAACCATAAGCAGTTTGATTCTAGAATAAAAAGTATATGGTAGCACCAGTTCTTCAATTGGCTTTCACCTCTCTTCTCTAGGACTGGACAGTGTCACTCTGCTGTTAGCTAATTTCCGATTATGGGTGGAGGTTGTTAGGAACCACGAACCCCCACAATGGTATGATATTGTCCACTTTGAGCATAAGCTCTCATGTCTTTGCTTTTGGTTTCCCCAAAAGGCCTCGTACCAATTGAAATGTATTCCTTACTTATAAAACCATGATATCCCCTTAATCAGCCATTGTGAGACTCCCTCCCAACAATTCTCAACAATCCTCCCTTCGAACAAAGTACACCATAGAGGCTCCCTTGAGACCTATGTAGCCCTCGAACAGCCTCTCCTTAAGCGAGACTTGACTCCTTTCTCTGAAGCCCTCGAATAAAGTTTACTCTTTGTTCGACACTTTGAGTCACTTTTTTACTGCACCTTTGAGGCTAGCAACTTCTTGTTCGACATTTGAGGATCCTATTAGTAATGACTAAGTTAAGGGCATGACTCTGATATCATGTTAGGAATGACGCCTCTCCTTTCTCAAGAGGGTGCCCAATGATCCTTTATTTGTGATCTTTTAATGATACATATCTAGATTTTGCCCTTTCTCATAATCTCGTAAAGATCAAAGGACTGTTAATTATTGCAGAGATTGAACAACTTTTGGAACCCGAAGAACGAGCGATACTACAACAGAATGCAACTCTGAATGTGGATAAACTGTCGACTGTAATGCTGAAAATATTGAAATACCTTTTTCCCTCTTATCTATCTTTTGAAAAGGCAGCAACTTTCTTGTTTTATTTTTCTTCACACTTCTATTTAAAGCTATCTGCTTGACAAAAAAAAGTTCTTGAACCTTTCATGTTCAGCCGAAATGGAATCCACTTCACACTTTTGCGCTATCAAGTCAGATTATTCCAATGGACAAACTACTTGAAAGTGGATTTGACATTGACTCTGTCGACGAGGTGAATATTATCGATACCATCCAATTTCTACATTTTATTGTTTGAAAACATAGATTCTTTACGTGAACTTATTAGTCAAGGCTTTATGTGGTGAATCAGGATGGGTTTTCTGCTCTCCATAAGGCAATTATTGGCAGAAAGGACGCTGTCATTGGTCATCTTCTAAGAAAAGGTGCAAGTCCTCATATCAAAGACAAAGTAAGGAGTTTATTCAGCTATGCTACTTATCCAATTAATTTCCTAGGACTGTGCTTTCAGAAAAACCATGACTTAAGTAATTTTCTTCTTCATAGAATGGTGCTACCCCGCTTCATTATGCTGTTCAAGTTGGTGCAAAACAAATTGTGAAGCTACTAATAAAATACAATGTGGATGTCAATGTTGCAGATTCTGTGAGCTTTTTCCTTCAGAAAACTACAAACAAATGAAGCATCTTGTTTAGTTTTCTTGCTACAAAGTTATAATAACTCTCCCTTGAACAATTGTATAGGATGGATGGACGCCATTGCACATTGCTATCCAAGGTAGAAATAGAGATATAACAAAGATTTTGTTGGTCAATGGAGCAGATAGGAGCAGAAGAAACAAGGTAAGTTTTGGAATAAATTCATCAAAAGTTTCCAACTTTGCAAATTTGAAACTGAAACCTTACATGACGCTACGTAAGGTTAACTATTAAAACGGTTTGATTTTAAACTATTTCTTAGTTCATGTTCTTGATTTAATCATGCATTTCAGGATGGAAAGACACCCTTGGATTTGAGCTTATGTTATGGGAAAAACTTCAAGTCATACGATCTTTCCAAGTTACTAAAAGTAGTGCCTGTTCGTGGAGCTTTTTGATGTGCCAATTTGAAACATCCTTCTGCTTGCATTGACCACTTTGTATTTAAGTCTTTTGTTGAAGTCCACAAGATCTTGGTCGCATAACTCTCTCTTTCATTCGTGGAATCTTTGATGACATTGGTAATCTTTAATGACATTTTTATTAATAATACTATTTTCTAGCTAGTTTAGTCGAGATATATTTGAGATGCATGAACATTTTAAAGTATATTTTTACTTGGTAATTTTATGCATATAACTAGAAGAACCTGTGGACTGTAAATTCCTTGTTATTATCACCTGGCCTGCAAAGTATGAAGCTATGGAGGATGCCGTATCATCCTCCATTTGGCTCCTATATGCCGTTCTATACACCAAAATTTAGATCCATCTGGAAAAGAAACAAACGATTCTTTGTTCGTTCATATTTTGACACTTCCAAGGAATTTGTCAGGCAAATGATCCTTCTTTTCCCTCTATAAATTCCCACCATTAGAACATCACCACACACCAACATCAAGAGACAATCTCAGCCCGAGCAACAGAATAAAGAAGAAAAAGAAGGAAAATGGGTCTTCAGAAATGTTTGGGTATGGGTCTAATTTGGGTTGCTTGCTTGCTTGTTGCCATGGCTACAGAAGCAGAAGCTCAGAGCTATGGCGATAGCTCCAATTCAGCTGAGGCCATATGTTCCCACCCAATGCTTCTCAAGTTTCTTGGTCTTGTTGTTTCCTTTTTGGTTCTCAAAGGGATGGTTTGAGTTCCCTGATGATCTGACTGTCATTCTGTATTGCAACATTGAGTTTCTTACTGTTTTTTCTTTGTCCGCCTATTAGTTTGTGTGTCATAATGAGTAGATTTGATGAGACTTACTGTATTTGAGAGTGTCTGATATGAAGTTGCTGAAGTTATTTCAATATGTTTTACTGTGTTGGGTTGAGATTGAATCTCAAAATGCAGCATTGTTATGAACGAATGTTTGTTGAAGTAGAAACCAGAGCACTGAACTTTGTAAACATTATGGTAGAAAACACACCAAAACTTGAAATTGGCAGGGATCAAGAAAGAGAGGGTTTTTTTTTAAGGAAAAAGACCTGGATGAACTAAAGTTTAGATTTCTACAAGATAAAATGATTCTAAAGAATTGCCTTCATCAAAACAAAAGCTGGGATTTGATTGACTACATCACTTTGAGAAAGATCTCTTTTTGGAAGCTTGACATCAAGGTAGCAATGATAAAAATGAAGATAAAAACTCAAGATTTCACCATTTCACCGAGGAAGGAATTACATTTTCATGTATACCATTTTACATTAATCCCTCGAAAACATGTACCTAAGTCATACCTAGAACAACCAAAGTCCAACCACCCTCAAAGACAGATTGAACTCGAGGATAGCTAAAAACATATGCTTTCACCCAGAAGAAAACACGTACCTAAATGTACAGAGGGAAGACCAATATAAATCAAAGAGAAACTAAAAAAAGTAGGCCATGGAGAAATCCTATGAATCGGAGTGTAACGGTCCAATGATCAGTTGGAGAGGAGAACGAAATTTTTTTGTAAGGGTGTGGAAACTTTTCCCTATCAGACGCGTTTTACAAACCTTGCAGGAAAGCTAGAGAAAGTCCAGAGAGGACAATATCCATTGGTGGTGGGCTTGTGCCATTACACAAAGATTCAATACAAGCCACATGAACAGAAGAAAGTCTTAATAGGACTTTGCTGGTCAGTTTAGTACTCAACCTATAAAAAGGTTCATGATGTCTACAGCAACTTACAAGTAAAAGTGTTTACCCAAAAGAAACTATACGAAAAAGGCCTAAAAGGTTATCCACAATATGAATTATGAAAACAGGAATCATCTCAAAGAACCAACAAATTCAGAACCTCAGCAATTGAACCAACCTATAAGGTTTTCCCCCTCACTCACTATGAAGATAAAATTCAACTGAGTTTATGCACTAGCAGGTAAGATTCAACCTTAATATGAAGATAATGAAGAAAAGATGAAATTCATAACACAAAATACAAAATGCATCCTTATTTGAAATGCTCTAGCGTTTAAATGGGACCTCTAAAACAGCTAGAATCAATTGAAGGTTATACAAGTTCATAGGGAAGAGCTATCAGATTAAAGCACAATATTGGCGTCAAAGCTTCAAGCTTCGACAGTGTTACCAAGAACAAAAGAGAACAGCTCCCGAACAGGGGAAAATTCCACCAACCCAATATCAATTGCGTACCCGGAAACTGGTAGCTTCAAATCCCTTAGAACACAAAATGCCTCAGCCATTCGAGCCCTGGGCACCTCCTGAGCAACAGAGCAATGGGGAATCCACGAGCCCGGACGATATTCCTCCCCGATTTCAATTCCTTCTTTCCTCATTGCTTCGCACAATTGGGACTGGAATTGGAGGAGTGAAATCGAAGGTGCTGGACCAAGAAATAGAACGTTGTTGTCACTGGGAAGGCTACCAATTGACGATAAGGACAATGGCAAGGGTTCCTGTTTAGAAGCGAAATTTTTAACGATGGATTCCACTTTTGTGGGTTCAAGAAAAGGGCTGGAGAAGAGGGTAATGTGAGGGCGTGATTCAATTTCAATGAGTTGGGTACTAATTTGACGGCGAGCCAGTACATTCCAAGCCTTGAGAACTTGATTTTCAAGCGCCGGATCGAAATAGAGCTCGATCGCAAAGCCTTGTGACATCGCCTTAGAACTCAAAATCCTCAAAGTAAAATAGTGAAAAACAGAGCGAAATAAACAAAACCCAGAAACCAATTTCAAATTTCGAATTACAAGAGAAAGAAAAGCGGGGAACAAAAAAAGATTAGAACATTCTGAAATGAAAAATTCAAAACCCTAGAGATAGAACACAAAAAAAACAGACGAATACAGAAAACCCAGAAGAAATCGATGAACCCAGATGCCCAAAAACCTACAAAAAGAATGAACAGAAACGGAAAATACGAATTTCAAGAAAGAGAAGAGCCCAAGAATGGCGATGAAAGGAAGATCAAGAAATGGGAAGAACGCAGACACCTAAAGCGGTGAAGTGAAGTAAAAAGTGGGAAATAGAAAGAGGGATGAAAGGAAAGGCCGTGCAAGAGAGTCTCGGAGCTGCACAGCCACTTGCTAAGAGGCGTGGAACCAGATTAGGTGTCCTCCGAGTGGATCGAAACGAGGAAGACAAAGGGAGAGAGAAGGGGGCATCGGCCAGCCCGCTTAAAATACCCACACCCAACCACCGTTGAACTTGGAACCCCTTTGGTAGACCGAATTGTTCTTCCACACTTGAAAAGGTTAAAATTTAAGGCCTATCATCTACACACTTAAAAAAGTAATTTTTTCAATTTTGAATCATGCTTTTATTTGTTTTCAAAATTTTCATATCACTAACAAAATCTTTGTTTGCATAGATTAGGCTTCTCGATCCTCGTTTGTGATGCTGATGGCTTTAGCTTATATGTAATGAGTCAAACCAGACAATATCGATTAGCGGTGAACTTTCAGACAATATCTACTACCGTAGCTAAAATTTCAAATCTCATATAAATATAACACTTCATTCATTACTACCCTATGGCATGCTACAAATTGTACAGTTTCCTCCCATGCTTAGCCATGGCCATAGCTTGGAAGGTGAATAAAAGTTGGATATTTATACATTGTCTGCACTGTGTCTGTGTGTGTTGTAGCTTCCAAGAAGAGGTACTCTCTGATCTTCATGTGATTCCTTGTTGCCACTAAGATTATGGGTATGGCCTTCTTCTTTTTCTTCTCCAACGCCCCTTTCTTCCTTTGCTTTCCCCCACATCACAGTATAAAACCCTATGGATATTATGGATGCTCCAACAACACTGTAGAACACACCAAAATTTCAAACTTCTTCAAGTTAGTTCATCTGTTAGAACTGATGCAAGAAACTTATGGTTAATTTCTCTCTGTGTTCATACCTTCCAAGATATAGTGAATCGCCGAGAAATAGAACACCCATTACGATCGCAACGACGATCGACAACGGCTTAAACATCGCTACGAACACTGGCCCTTTCAACCGGAGTGCCCATGTATGAACTGTATTATTCAAGCATGATCCAAAAAGTCCCTAAGAGAAAACAGCTTTTGTAAGTCATAAAGCAGATGATAGGAGTATTATTAAGTGCCTTTTTCTTGATTCTTACAGAGCATAAAACAGAGGCCAATGCTGTATGCTGCTTCAAGATCCAAGCGCTTGGATCTGTCTCCAAAACCACCCCAACAATGGCAGCTATGAAGGCCACTGTTAAGTTGTAGAAGAAGATCACTGTTGCCTCGTCTGGGTATTCCTTCATAATTCTTGTCTGTCAAAATGTTCAACAGTTTCAAGGTTATGTTCACATTTAGAACTATGGTTAGAATCTTCAGTCTAAAACGCTGCTCGTTGAGAGGGTAGAAAGATGAGTGGATCTTAGAGTTGGGGCCAATACTCCAATTAAAGGCTCTGTGTTTTTAGGATCGATGTTTGTTATTCAATGAGATCGTCACAGTGTGTCTACCTTTCAAGAACGGTTGGATGCAAACTTGAAAATTTGCATGTTCTCTTGAAACTACCAATACATCTAACAATTCAAAACCGTTAAAAGTACGTTGTAGCAAACTTCTTGAATAATTTCTCCAAAGCTTGACGGTCCTACTTGCCGCATGGGAAGAAGTTAAAAAGAAAGAAAAGTACTCGAAACTGATAGTTACTCTGAGATCCCACATCAGTTGGAGAGGGAAACGAAACATTCTTTATAAGGGTGTTGAAACCTTTCCCCAACAGACACGTTTAAAAACTATGAGGTTAATGGCGATACATAACAGACAAAAGCGGACAATATCAGCTAGCAGTGAGCTGGGCTGTTACAGATGGTATCAGAGTTAGGCACCGGTCGGTGTGTCAGCGAAGAGGCTGACCCCCTAAGAGAGGTGGATTGTGAGATCGCATATATGTTAGAGAGGGGAACAAACCATTCCTTATAAAGGTGTGAAAACTTCTCTCTAATAGACATGTTTTAAAACTGTGACACTAATGACAATACATAATAAGTTAAAGTGGATAATATCTACTAACGGTAAGAACGAAGAAGAAGAAGAAGCTACCTGAACAATGTACCAAAGGGGAACCAAGATGTATTCAGCAGTCAAGAGAAGGCTGCCAATGACCCAATTAGAGTGGGAAGAGGGTAACGGATGATGAAGTGAAAGAGCCGTGGGCGCTGAAGAGAGCATAATCCTAGGGCCCTTGTAAAGAGTGACCACAAAGGCACCTGATATGGATATTATGGTGCCCATCACTTTGGCTTGACTGCTATGTCTTCTCAATACCACTTTCTCCATCCTATAATTCCATATTATTATAATTACATCCCTTAATCAACTATCAAACTAATTCTTTTTTAATTGAAAAAAAAAATTAAATATTTAAAAATACGAACTTTATTTTAAGATATAAACAAAATGGGGCCAATTGTTGAAAAAGTGGACTTACTTTAATTATTAGAAATAATAACATAAACTTCCAAATTTTAAACACTATTTTTATCTACAATTATTTTTATTATCCATTTTTTTTTTATAAAAATTCCAAAATCTCCAAAAATAGTTTTTAAAGTGTTTTTTTTTTTAAAATTATTATTATTAAGTAATTAAAACAAAATGACCTCTGGCTTATTATAACGACCCTTCAAGAGAAACAGAGGAAGGCGATGAAGAACCTGAAAATGACGGCGAGGATGAAAGTGAAAGCAGGAACAAGGTTGCTGATAGCGGAAGCAAGCGTCGGAGAACTGTAGTTGATTCCCGTGTATCCCATAATCTGCGAAGAAGAACTGCCAAAATCGAAACAAAATCAGAACGATAATTTCAGTTCATTAACTCTTCAAACTCGGTTAGGTCACCGAAATCGCGTACCCGATGAGTCCGAGAAGCGCGATCTTGGAAAGTACAGAGAAACTCAGAGGTGGTAGACGCCTGGATCTGCGAGAAATGAAGGGAGAAGGGAGGAGGAGAAGCGCGGCGAGGGAGTAAGAATAGACGACGAAGACGTGGTGGCTCATGCCGGAGGCGGTGGCGGCTTTGAAAAGAGTGTTGAGTCCGACGTTGATACACTCCATGGAGATCATCGCCGGAAACGGTAGAGCCGCTTCCATCAGGTATGTTCCACTTCCCGCCATCTCTTTGCGTTCAGACCTCAAACTCGGTTCCTCTGTTCTTCAGAAAAACAGAGTCGTGATTTCCGAAGGCAGTGACCGAGTGGGGGTATTTTAATATAATATAATATAATATGTATAAATAAATAAAATTATTATTATTATTTCCACCACTAAACACCATGTCAACGTCCTTGCATTATATTAATACCAATAGCATATTTGAAGCTACCTCTATGATTAAGATCGTATAATTAGTTTAATTTCTTGAGAAATATTTATAAATGCTTATATTATTTGTTTGTTGTGCATCAACGAGGACCTGAACTGTTAGTATTTTTATGTTTTTGGGTGATTCAAATAGGCTATAGATTCTTGGCGTGGCTGTTACTCTTCTATATTTTCTTGATTTCAGCTCCTTTTCCTTTTACTTTCCCTTTTTCCTTTTGCTTTTAAGCTCAACGATGAAACTAGGTGTTCGTGCTACTCATTATCTTGTGATTTTAGTACCATTAGTTGTATAACTAAGGCTGCCCTCATATTCTTTCAAGAAATTCTTGTAACCTTTCTTAAAAGAAAAGATTTGGAAGTTGGGTAAAGACTTCCTCCTCCTTTTGACTCGATCACTTTGGAACATCGGTATAGTGTTCTTTTAAGTATTATTCTTACTCTAGAGTTAAATATTATTCTCACTAAACTAATACAATTCTTTTCGGTATGTTCTATTTTCATTCTCAAGCGTGAAAGAAAGTGCACATTGTTAGTATAGGTAGTGACTTTCATTTCTTTTAAGATTTTTTTAGTCATTCTATCCTCAAGATCGTTCTCATTCAGATGTGACCCTTGTTCATTTATGTATCATTCCTTTACATAGGTGTCACGACATTGAACATGTGTTTAAGAGATTTGGTTCAGTACTAGCACGTTTTGAGGTAGATGAATCCAATGCCCAAAGTAAGTATTGAACATCGAAACATAGACATTAACTATTCAAACCCGCCCTACTAGGGAGGTTCCAAAATTGTTGTCTTGGGTATGTTGTAGAGAGGAGGAGTGGTGCAAAAGGGAGGCAGATGGTGATTCAGAAGTAGAAGGAGGTGGTAAGTCCAGGTCCAATTCTAGTTGTTTGATCTGCCCCCATATCACACTATAAAACCCACACCCAATCACCACCGATCCGATCACACTGCCAAGTGCCAATAGGAAATCACCCATTATCAATGCTTTATAAGCACGAGACTATGCAGGGGTTGGCCAGCTTACCTGCCAAGACAAAGCGACTCACGAAGAAAGCTGACGGCCAAGGCGACGGCGATGACCATGCCCAGGGGCTTGAACATTGCAACAAAGACTGGGCCCTTCCTTTGCAAGCACCATATGTGGACGCCAGTACGAACCATACTCCCAAATATGGCCTGCCATTTGCCAACCCAAACTAATTCATTACCTATATCACTGACTATGAACTTAATTCGTTTAGTTTATGGGTTTCTGTATCGGTGTCGTTTTCTTACGGAGAATACGATGGTGACCATTTCGATGTCGGGTCGGACTTGCCACACAGTTGGGTTTGTTTTGATGAACACAGCGAAGGCTGCCGTTTGGACCGTCACAAAGAATGTGAAGAAGAACACGCTTGTGATCTTTTTGTTTGGGTATACGCTAACAAACCATGTCTGCATAATCCCGAACAAAACATAATAGTCGACAATATTACATTATTGTGAAAATTGTTAGAAATCACGACTCTCCACTGTGATATTGTCCCTTTGAGTATAAGTTCTTATGACTTTTTAGGCTTCCACAAAAGATTTCATACCATTGGAGATATTATTCCTCACTTGTAAACCCATGATCTTCCACTAAATTAGCTAATTTGAGACTCCCTCCCAACCATTCTCAACTATCCTCCCCTCGAACAAAGTACATCATAGAGCCTCCCCTGAGGTCTATGTAGGCTAATAGTCTCCCTTTAATTGAGGCTTAACTCCTTCTCTGGAAGCCTCGAAGGAACAAAGTACACTATTTGTTCGACCCTTGAGTCACTTTTGACTACACTTTCGAGACTCACAACTTCTTTGTTCAAAATTTGAGGATTCTATTGA